GTGTACATACGTAACAGGACCACAGGTTCGTTAATTTTACAGTAGGCGGGGGAGAAAGAATTAAAGATAAATAATTGAACGAACGGGGGGTGGGAGGGAGAGAGTTTCTGCCCCGATGGGGAATCTTAGGTGAAAAATAATAGTTGAATCCGGCGCGTCTTGTCGCGCGCCTTACGGACCGTGACCGGTCCGGGCTGTTCGCGGGCCAGCGCGCCGTTTCTGACCGCGGCGCGCTGCCAGGAAGTGTATAGTGTTGTAAAACTCGCAGAAATCAGCCAAACAAACACTACCCTCAGCCCTTGTTATACGAGCCAGCAGTTGAACAATGATATCTGATTTTTATCGCCGGGGAGCAGTAATAGCACAAGTGAGACCGTTTACTAAGTACATTTGTTATACACGCATATTGTTATCATTGCCACGTGAAAAGCAATTATTAACTCCATAGCCTGGGCCATTGTTAGTTGAACGAGAGAGCCAGAGACTGTTTCTTGAAGTTGGGTTGCACCGGCATGCCGCCATCGTCCCTGTCCCAGCGCGACAACCCTTAACCCACCGAGCCGGTCACATCCCCGTCCTCTCTCCACCGTCATCCAACGTTGCAACTGATTCGGAAGACGCGTTTGACCCTTTCGCTACAATCGAATTCGATCAGGGGGAAAGTGTATTATTTTCTATTACGCTGGGGGTGGTCTTCGATCTAGCGGGATCCAAGTAGAACTTCATACCTCGGGCTCGAGGACTATTTTTTAAAGCCACGACGTACACGATAGTATTACGGTCTCCAAATCCGCGGAGACAGTCGGATGTTATTGCAGCAACCTTTCGTAGCGAAGGGGTTACGAGGCGGCGAGCTATCCAGATAACCTTTAAGCCGAACCGCGGGTATTGAGTTATAACGCGGAGCTACGTTTATCCGAACACTGGAGGACAGGGTTTCACCGAGACGATTATCCAATAAGTGCACGCGAATACAGTTCCAGTGGTCCTGATTGTTGAGTTTATGGCGCCGATGGAGCAAGGACCACTGATATATGGGAACTGGTCCGGTTAATGGGGGATTCAAGATTTCGTTCGGATAAACGGAGATCGCTGACTGCCCAAGATCATTCGGGACTCGGAGCAATTTTAGAAAACGCCGATTCGTATCGCTGTCGATCATGTTTCTAGTTTCCATGAAAACACTGTAGCAATTGGACGTAATGGCTCCCAGTGATTCGAACGTCGCGAGGACCTCGTCCTCGGCAGATGCTCCGCAAAGATCAGAAACCGCTGGAGGCTGTTGAATCTTAACGCTTTCGCAGCTGCTGACGCGAAATTACGTCGCCCTTCGTAGTTTGTATTTAAAAACGCCATTGGGACATATTATTTGCCCGTGTTCAACGAGCCGCCAGCTTATTCCCATCCGAAATAACAAGTTGCCGTGAGTATGATATTTTAAAAGCAAATTTCATACCTCGTATCCTTCCGTTGATCGCCGGAGCCCGCGGCGCGTTCGTCAGCATTCGACTCGTTCCTTTCCGAGCGTTTGTCGGCTTCCAGTTTGTCGGGAACCGACGCAATTACCAGCTGCGAAAATGTTAATAACACGGATTACCGGACGGGCATTAACATTCCGTCGATTTTACAACAATCGTCTGTCGTTCCTTTTCCATAAATTAACGCCGCCGTCGCTCGGGATCCCCCGGCGAGGGGGGAGACGTTATCGTTAGAAAAGAAACGATCAAGTTCGCGGAACTTCGGATTAAAGGTTTCGCCGCGCGCTTCCGAACGATTCCGCGCCGCGAAACGCAACGATGCCATTCTAATCCAGCCACGATCCCGTTCGACCTGTTAACCGGCCGATTATTCGACCACGAGCACGCACATAGACATAATTAACAAAGAATATAATCGATCCGACGAAGATTTCACCGCAGTGAAACGTGAATACAATATATAGTTTATACTGTTGCAGATATTATACGTTACAGTTGAATGCAAGATTAATTAGATAAATAAATAATTAAATAAATAAATAAATAAATAAATAAATAAATAAATAAATAAGTAAATAAGTAAATGAAATATGGTGAACGCGAAATACGTTCGCCGTACGAGACGACGTCGATTACCGATGACGGGGATAACCCGTCTACACCGGTTAACAGGTTGCCGCGCGGTTCGCTTTTATTTCTCTTCCTTTTCCCGTTCCGTTCCCGGTTGATCCGAGATTACGATTATCATTCGTGCAACCCTGCATCAAGGAAGATATCGAGAGAAAGAGATTATCGTACTAACTGCCGATTACTCGGTAACAATGGCGACGCCCATACATACGAAGTCTGTAATCGAAATGCTTTATATTTTTACACCGAACAGAAGCAGTATAATAACGTACAATAAACAATAAACAACATGTCCTTCCATACGCAACCTCAAGATGAAGACAAATGTTAAATTTTTATTTTTACAACAACAGCCCGCTATCACTTCCGATATCTGAGCTATACTCGAGCGTATCTCGTAAATAGTTGAGAACTATCTAAGTAGTTTATATTTAAACAAAGTCGGCTAGGGATTCATTTTCAATCGACTCACACCACCAACAGCACACCGATTTACCGATTCACCATTGATAACGACGATCGTCTGTCCAATCCGATTAACGCTAGACCTACCAGTCAAGTCAAAACTGTTCCAATTTCGGATTCTTTGCTTTGCAATTCAAATCGAACTTCATCATAAAACGAATGCTTCCTGGAGAAATCTTTCGAATCGATCCGTTCACCCAGTGTCCAAGTCTGAAATAAAATAAAAAGTCAATGGAGATCTCGATTAACTCTTCGAAATTTCTATGAGACGAACCGTTCACCTACATACCTACATACCCGCGGAGTACTAACGCGATTTGACTGCTCGGTAGTGCCAGCGTTAACGCGCAAATCGTAAAAACGACACGACAGTCTTCACGCTAGTGAGAGAACGCATATATATATATCGTAATTGTATTACAACACGTCGACTTCTCAAGCTCATCCGTGTGATAGAATCATGTTTTTTCTTTCGCTGTCATTCGTTTCGCGAGTCGCCGATACGTGTACAGTAAAAAGAATAAGA